TGCTCCTATGATGCTGCTTGGCCTGCTGTGTTCATCCAGCTCTACACTTTGTTATCTCTTACCTTTTTTAATGTTTATTTTAAGATGGGCACACAAAATAATTTAAATGTGAAGCAATTACTGTTGTGTTGAGATGATTTACTTGTTTTTTTTCAGATTCAGAAATCTATCTGGGGACAGAGCAATGCGGCAAAGATACAATTACATCATCCAAGGCTTCTTGAGCAGTTCTCTACCCAAGAGATCCCAATGCACTCAGTTAATGACTTTTCAGCCCATCAACAAATTCTTTTGAATCAAAAGGTTGCTCACAACTTCAGTAAGTTTAAGATCTCTGAGTAAGGTCTTTCTGTTTTCAGAATTCCTTTTCATAATGACTAAAGCAAGACCTTAAAGTATTAGTCGCTATGATACAGTTACAGTTAGAAATATCGGCCTAAATATTCTGACCGTAAGATATGTGTTGGAGAATCATAAACTGGTCTTGCAAGTTGGGACTATGTGAAATTCATGATGCACCTGACTTAGAGGCAATACCTGGGAAATTGACACTTCTGATGGGCAATTCCCTTACATCTGGAACTCTCCAAAATAGCCCCATTTAAAGCTAGAAACATCTGAGGGTTCTGAGTCAATTAAACCTAACAGTTACACTGGAAAGTTTAGAGGTGTAAAAACCAGCTTCAACTCCTGGGTTACAGTCAAACCGAACCCCTGACCACTCAACCCTGACATATCCTAGGCACTCAACCACTTAATGTGGCATCCTACCTATGTCACAACCTACACACCTCAACCATCTCTGTGCCAACTCTGTCATTTACCTTACATATGTATCCTTTCGTTGTAGCTTTTAAAGTTTCTACTGGGCATTTAGATTTCAGGATTTTTACTCAGTGCTGTGAAAGGAGGCGTGGTTTTGCCAATGATCTCATTTTATTCTGGATCCATGGATCTCTAGTCAGGTTAGTAACAGGACACCCCTGTCCAGGAATCTCCAGTGCAGAAGACATCTTAATGAGGCTGAAGTTTAATGGGGAGGCAGGATTCCCTGTCGCTCCTTTAATTTTCTATTCTGAGGTGTGAAACAGGCTGCTAATCTATTTATTTCAGTCACTATAACTTTTTGGTTTTTCAGTTTTGGTTTTTCAATCAGTGAAAAGATCAATTTATATTGAAGAGAGCAAAAAAATTATGTTAAAGCTGTGCCAAATAGGTGCATGAAGGATAATCAAAGAAAAATGATCTCTTCTTTTGTGAATATCTTTGATTATGGTTTTCCTGTAGGCTTGCCTCTGCTCCCATATTTGATGGGGCGATCCATCTGTGATTGTGACTTTGTAGCCTTTCTCCTGAGGAGTACAATATATGACCACATTTGGCTTAATGCACAGACATGTAGAAATAGCTCCATTTGGACTGTTTTGAATTATAATTAAGCAGCTTAATTTAGCTTGTAAATGCAAGAGCTTACCAGTGGAAGGCATACGTGCATGGGGGAGAAACATTTCTCTGCACATAATCAGCAAACTGAGCCCAAGGTAAGTCACAGAGAATGAACCTGCCTTAACTGAACCAGGGACTGTAACACTTCTTGGAGCAAGAAAGGTAAGGCAGAAGAATAGTGAACAAAGATTACAGTATCATTTTTATTACCTTGAGATTGAATTCATTTTCCAGCCCTTTTAAATCATTAAAGTTAAATGATCCATTCAAAAGCTATGATTGTTTAAAATTTTGTAAGCTGGAATATATTTTCAACGGAGAAGGTTCTATTAGACACTGATTAGTGTCTTTCTATTCAACAGAAATGTTCAATGATGAATGAGTCATTTTTTATATATTAAGAATGCCACGCTGTTCTAAATCAATTTTATGTCTGAGTCTAAAGTTGATTAGCTGTTTTAGCATTTTTTCCTGACGAAATGATATCTTTCTGATACAAGCAGCAACTAATTATGGAAATGAACAAAAACTGAGCAAAAACTTGGCAGATGGATTTTAATGTGCGAAAGTGTGAGGTCATGCACTTTGGTAGGAAGAATCAAATGGCAGACTGTTATTTAAATAGAGAGAGACTCCAAAATACTGCAGCACAGAGGGAGCTGGATGTTCTTATTGTGAGATGGAGCAAGTAATTAAGAAGGCAAATAGAACATTGGCCTTTATTGCTCAAGGCTTGGTGATTAAATTTCGGGAAGTCTTGTTAGAACTATGTAGGGTGTTGGTGATGCCACATCTGGAGTACTGTGTATAATTTTGGTCCTAATATTCCAGAAAGGATAAATTGACATTGGAAACAATTCAAAAGAGATTCACTGTGTTGATTCCTGGAAGAATGGGGTTGATTAATCAAGAACAGCTAAACAGGTTAGGCTTTTATTCATTTGAGTTTAGAAGGAGGGGTAATATAATTGCAGGGGAGGCAATGACTTAGCGTTATTATCGCTGGACTGTTAATCCAGAGACCCAGGCAAATGTTCTGGGGACCCAGGTTTGAATCCCGCCACAGTAGATGGAGGAATTTGAATTCAAAGAAAGAAATCTGGAATCAAGAGTCTAATGATTACCATTGCTGATTGTCAGGAAAAACCCATCTGGTTCACTAATGTCCTTTTTTAGGGAAGGAAACTGCCATCCTCATCTGGTATGGCCTGCATGTGAATCCAGACCCACAGCAATGTGTTTGACTCTTAACTGCCCTGTGGGCAATTAGGGATAGGCAATAAATGCTGCCTAGCCAGCGATACCCTCATCCTGTGCATACATTTTTTAAAACATTTTAAAAAAAAGATCAGTACAAAATTCTTGTGGGCTTGACAGGGTGGATGTTGAGAAGATATTTCCACTAGTTGGGGAATCTTGAACTAGGGGACATTGGGAAATTGACCATCGTTTAAAACTGAGATGCAAGGGAATTTCTTCGCTTAGAGGTTTAGAGGAATAGGGAATGTATGGAATTCTCTACCCCAGAGAGTTGTGGAGGCTTGGACACTGAAAGTATTTAAAGAGGAGATAGATAGATTTTTGAAATATTGGAGAGTTGGAGAGTTGAAGACTATGAGGAGCTGGTATGAAGGCGAAGTTGAGGCCTGAGGCAAATCAGCCATGATCTTACAGAATGGTGGGGTAAGCTGAGGGCCTAAATGGCCTACTCCTGCTGCTATTCTTTATGTTCTTACATTTCCAGCTGGAAACTTCCTTCCGGCAAAGATCTTTGGCAGCTTTGCTCCCTGCTTTTCTTCCAGGCCATGCTAGCACGGTGCCAATACTGTTCAAAGCTTAGGTGCTGTGTGTACACTCTCATTTTCTTGTGCAGTACCAAGGGTGTCCTTTATCGGTTGTCCAAGCTCCCTTTTACACCTCAGGCCATCTCAGAGCCAGAGTGATGCCCTGTTGTAGCTTTGACTGGTTCCCCACTGTGTGCTCACTCATCCACTTGGAGAAACTCAATTCTGAAACTGAAAACGTCTGTGTGCATGCTTTAAATATTCCATCATCCTCTTTAACAAAATTGTGAACAAGTTTCTCAATGAGTTTAATTGGCCTCAATGGGAGGATGGCAGGATGCATCCCCTTTCCCTTGTGAATGTTCCGCTTAGATCCAATATTTTTGGGACATAACATTTCCATTCCTGCCTTTAGGGAA